AGAAGCCCTATGGGGAGATACATGTGGCAAGGAACTGAGGCCTCCTGCCAACAGCCATGTGAATAAGCCATTTTGGAAGCAGATCCTCAAGCAAAACCAAGCCTCCACATAGCGACATGACTGACCAACATCTTGACAATAATCTCATGAAAAACCATGAGCCAGGACCACCCAGCTAAGCTGCTCCTAGATTCCTATCCCACAGAAGCTATGAGATAAAAATTTTGTTTATTGTTGATTTAAGCCACTAAGTTTTGGGGTAATTTGTTACACAACAATAGGTAACTAAGAGTTTTTCCCAAGACGGCCAACTAGAGAGGGCTGGTGCTAGTGCCCTCCCCATGAAAACAGACCAAAATAACAGACAAACAAACATATTTGACTGGAACGACTTAGGAAACATGCTGCAGCACACTAGGAGAGTGACAAGATCCCTGTGAAGTATGGAAGAAGTGAATGGCACCATACATAGCAGAGTATCCAGCCTCTGCCCTGCCGCAGGGACCAGCCTGGAATCAGGTGGAGAGAATGTAAGCTGGAAAAGACCCCAGCTGTTTCTGCTACCACCACAAATGCCAGCAATCCCTGCCTCAAGAGAGTCCCCCAGTCTTTTCAGGACTCAGGCCCAGTTGGAGAGCAGCTGGGAGTTAGTGTAGCTGCAGTCTCATAGTGAAAGCCCAAGGATATTAAAATCCCTTCTGCCCTGAGAGCTAAGATGCAGCACCGTCTGGGGGCCGAAACCCCAGTGAGAGTGCGCCCTTCCCTGGACCCAGCAAGTCTGACTCCCTTTGTCTGGAGGCCCTGCCTGCATTCTACCACGCTCACACAGGTGCTGGCAGGACCAAGGCACAGGCTGCCTGGAGCCTAGGAGAGACAGGAAGATTGAGACCCCAGCATCTGAACTCATTCAGCACCGCCCACCAGTCCCAGGTTAGCAGGCAGACTTGCTGAGTGGAAAAACTGCCAAGGTGCAGCAGTTCCCTTCACAGCTGGCCCTGCACGGCCTGCGGGGACTGAACCCACAAGTGCCTGCACGGCCCACAGCTAGCCCAGCGGCAACCCCATCACCAACCACCCAACCCCCTGCAACCCTCCACAACCCCAGCCTAGACCAGACAGAGAGACCAGAGACCAAGACCCCAGCATCTGAGCCCACGCAATGCTCCCTTCCATCCATCCCACTTCCCCAGTGGTCAGGCGGATCAGCTGGGCCAAGAAGCCTCTAGTAACCGATTATTCCCCACGTTTGTATGTACCAGCCTTGCACAACTCTTGGTCCTGCTGAGTCCACTGGTGCCCACACCAACAGCCAGCCTAGTGGTGGTCCCTCCTCCCCCCACAGCCCTCCACAGCTCTAGGGAGCTGCTGGGTCCCTCTGCATCTGTGCGGGCTTGCTCAGTTTATTCAGTGGCCCTCTACAGAGCTGCCAGGACCTGCTACAACAGTATACATCTGCTCAGTGGATCAGGCAGGGGCTTTGACACCCTAAGGCAGGCCTCTGCAGAGCTGCTGGCCTCGGCTGCACCCTTGCAGGCTAGCATCAGGCTCAATAGCTGATCAGGCAGCCACCTTCAGAGCTGCCAGGCCCCGTGAAAGCTGTGTACACCTACTCCAAACCAAGAGCTGATTGGGTAGCAGCTTTTTCTCCCTACAGCAAGCCTCTAGAAAGCCACTGGGTTCTGCAGCACCAAAGCAGGATTGCTCCAGGTTCAACAGCTGAACTAGTGGCCCTCTACAGAGCTGCTAGGACCTACTGCAACAGTATATATCTCTGCTCACTGACTGACAGCAGATCACCCACCCCGACAAGAAAGTGTCAAGGACCCCATTGTCTAGGCCACAGAGGCACACACAGACAATTCTAAGATTGAATCCAGTTGAACAAGTCGTATAAAGGCTGCACTACCGCACTCACCCAGATCCAAACTTAAAACATCCAAACCCAACCTCTACAAGAAAGTCTCCTCCTTCAAAAGAAACACCTAGAATTAAAAGAGTGACTATTCCACCAGATACCTAGCCACCAATGCAGGGATATGAGAAGCTTGAAAAAACAGGGAAACATGACTCCCCCAAAAGACTACAATACTAGACCGCAAACAACAGGAAATTGATGAATCACTTGAAAAGGAATCCCAAATGGCAATACTAAGGAAATTCAAAATGATGGATTAAAAAATTAGATAGAAATCACAGTGAAATAAAAAAGAAATTTGAGGTCATGTATAAGAAATCCAACAAAGAAATGGAAACAATAAAAACAAAAATCAAGCAGAAATCCTGGAACTGAAGAATTCATTCAATGAGATAAAAAATATAATGAAGAGCACAAGCATCAGGCTAGAACAAGAGAAAGAAAGAATCTCCGAACTAGAAGACAGGCTTTTTGAATTAACACAATTGGACCAAAAGAAAAAAATTTAAAAAATGAAGAAAACCTATGAAATCTTTCTGATAACCTTAAGTATAGAAACATCTGTATTATGGGTGTACCAGAAGGGGAAGAGAAAGAAATAGGCATTGAAAGTCCATTTAATGAAATAATAGCTGAAAACTTCCCAAATATTAGGAGAGATATAATTTTACTGATTCAGGAAGCTCAATCATCCTTAAACAGATTCAACCCAAAAAGGACCTCTCCAAGACACAGAGTCAAATAATCGAAAGTCAAAAACAAAGAAAGAATTCTAAAAACAGCAAGAAAAAAAGTGTCAAATCACCTGTAAGGGAATCCCCATCAGGCTAACAGCAGACTTTTCAACAAAAACCCTACATGCCAGGAAAGAGAATGGGATGACATATTCAAAGTGGTAAAAGAAAAAAAAAAAAACCTGCCAATCAAGAATACTATATCCAGCAAAGCTTTCCTTCAGAAGTGAAGGAGAAATACTGTCTTTCCTAGACAAACAGAAACTGTGGAATTCACCACCACAAAACCAGCCCTTCAAAAAATCCTCAAGGGGGCTGGCCCGGTGGCACACTGCTATAGTGCGCTGCTTGTGAGTGTGGTGGCGCTCCCGCCGAGGGTTCGGATCCCACATACAGACCGGTTCCCGCTCGCTGGCTGAGAGAGGCGCGGGAGCAACGCCGAGGGTTGCGATCCCGTTGCCGGTCCCGGTCCAGTACAGGGGCAACACTGAGGGTTGTGATCCGTTGCCGGACACAGAAAAAGACAAAAAGGAAAAAAAAAATCCTCAAGGGAGTCCTATATTTGGAATCAAAAGGAAGATATATGTCACCATAAATACACGAGAGAATAAAAACCGCTAGTAGAACAGATACACAAATGTGAAGGAGAAAGAAAATGTGTTTTATCACTACAAAAAAACACCCAACAGCAAAGATAAATAATAAAAGGGAAAGAAAGGAACAGAAAAAATATAAAACAACCATAAAGAAATTAATAAAATGGCAGTAATAAGGCAATACTTTTCAAGAACAACCCTTAATGTAAATGGATTAAATTCGCCTCTTAAAAGATATAGACTGGCTGAATGGATTAAAAAACTAGACCCAACTATATGCTGTCTGCAAGAAACTCACTTCACCAATAAAGACATACATAGACTAATAGTGAAAGGATGGAAAGACATTCCATACTTATGGAAACCAAAAATGAGCAGGAGTCACCATACCTATAACAGATAAAATAGACTTCAAACCAAGAACTAGAAAAAGAGACAAAGAAGGACACTATATAATGATAAAAGGATCAATGCAGCAAGAAGATATAACAATCAAAAATATATATGCACCCAACATTGGAGCAGCCAGATTTATAAAGCAACTGTTATTGGATATAAGGGGAGAGATAGACTCCAACACAGTGATAGTTGGGAATGTTAACATGCCACTCTCAGCACTGGACAGATCATCTAGACAAAGAATCAGCAGAGATATATTGGATTTAAACAGCACTATAGACCAAATGAACTTGACAGACATATACAGAACCTTTCATCCAACAATGACAGAATATACATTCTTCTCATGAGCATACGGCTCATTCTCCAGGATATACAAGATGTTGGTCCACAAATTAACTCCCAACAAATTTAAAAAGACTGAAATCATATCAAGTATCCTTTCAGAACACAATGGAATAAAATTAGAAATTAACAACAAATAAACTTGGGAAACTATACTAATTCATGGAAATTAAACAAAATGCTCCTAAATGACCAAAGGATCAAAGAAGAAATAAAGCAAGAAATCAAAAAATTCCTTGAAACAAATGAAAATACAAACACAACTTACCAAAACCTATAGGATTATGCAAAAGCAGTACTAAACTTATGAACTGTTTATTTCTGGAATTTCCACTTAATATTTTTAGACCATGGTTGACCCTGGGTAACTGAAACCATAGAATATGAAACCACAGATAAGGGGAGGCTACTGTATATATACATTAGTAAATTACTTGAGTACTGATTTTCTCTGTGCTTGCTGGCAAACTAGAATTGAAGTGGTAAGCGTTCGGATTCCCGTACCATTCAGGTATCTATCTCCTGAATCATCAAAAGGTTAGATAAATAACTTAGTTTTGGCTTGGTGATGTGCAACCTTAACATGAGTAACTCCATTTTAGTTTGGTTTGTTAGGCCTAGTTACGAGCTCGGCCCACCTATCCTATCGATTAGGAGCTCAGTCCAAACCAATGGCCTCCTATAAATTTCGACATACCTTAGAATATTTATACTCAATTGTAAGGTAATTCTACTCATATAGCTTTATCTCTACGGAGATAATCACGGATGATCATAAAGACGTATGTTTAAGATCTATGTTCCGTTGCAATTTTTAGAATAACATTTGAAGATGTTCAACAATAAGGAAATGGACAAGTAATCTGTGTTTATGATGTTACTCTATTGTGCAACTTATAGAACTAAAATAAAATTTGAAATTAGTTTAAGAATTACGTTTCAATAAAAAATAAAATAAATAAAAGCTGAACCGTGCCAGGCCTGGGTGAAAAACTAGGAGGAGTGAGAGAGGGAAATAGTGGTGGCAGGTCAAGTCGGCGACAACGGTGGGGACTGGTTAACGTCGCCGTGCAAGACACACACAAAGCCTTCGGCGCCCCAATAACACATACGGAACAGGAAAGTGATTGAATGGAGGAACGAATGAGACTTGATTCACATAGTGTTTCGGGAGCAGTCACTTTACCTGTGAACCTCTTTGCAAGACAAGCGGCCATGTACGGTATCGACCGCCAAGATGGCGGCGTCCTTACGGAAACCGCGATTAGGACGCCGCCATGTGTCACCTGGAACGTACGGACTCGACCCACTTACGGAATCAGATTCCAAGATGACGGCATCTGCGTGGAAGTCGCGCAGTAGGTGCTGCCATGTTGCCTCTAACGCCGAAGCAGCACAAGCTGCCACCGTACGGACTCGACTAACAAGGTGGCCGCGCCCTCGAAAAGCCGCGATACTGGCGCGGCCATGTTTCAGCGAACGTACGGACTCGGCCATCGTACGGACTCGATGGTCATGATGGCGGCGCCTGAGGGACATTTGGGGTCTCCAGGCGGGCGACCCACTTGTTTGCCGCGGAGCCGACACACGGGGCCTGCGCAATAGGAGTACGGTGTCCGGGAGGCACGACCAGAAGCGGAAGTAGTAGCGGGCGCCTTTGCAACCGTCGCGGACGCCGCCGAGTGGTCTGTACAGCTTCGCGGATCGCTGGCGGGGCTCGCGAGCGGGTGTGCCGAGAGCGGAGATATGGTGAGTACGGGGTGCGGGGACGGGTTCGGCGGTAGAGGTCGGTGGGGTTGGTAATGGTGGGATCTGTCACAGACGCGTGGGGGTCTGTGGTGAGCCGTAACCAGAGCCCGGGTAGAATGGGGGGGGGGGGGGGTGGGGGGGGGGGGGTGGTCGGGGGTGAGCCGTGACTGGAGTGTGTGGACAGACTGGAGTCTGCGGACAGAAGGGGGGGGTCTGTGGTGAGCCGTGTCTGGAGTGTGTGGACAGACTGGAGTCTGCGGACAGAAGGGGGGGGTCTGTGGTGAGCCGTGTCTGGAGTGTGTGGACAGACTGGAGTCTGCGGACAGAAGGGGGGGGTCTGTGGTGAGCCGTGTCTGGAGTGTGTGGACAGACTGGAGTCTGCGGACAGAAGGGGGGGGTCTGTGGTGAGCCGTGTCTGGAGTGTGTGGACAGACTGGAGTCTGCGGACAGAAGGGGGGGGTCTGTGGTGAGCCGTAACCAGAGCCCGGGGAGAATGGGGGGGGGGGGGGGTGGGGGGGGGGGGGTGGTCGGGGGTGAGCCGTGACTGGAGTGTGTGGACAGACTGGAGTCTGCGGACAGAATGGGGGGGTCTGTGGTGGGCCGTGACTGGAGTCTGCGGACAGACGTGGGATCTGTGGAGAACCGTCTTGGAGTTCTGTGATGAGCCATTATGGGGTTCCGTAACGGAAGTTTAGTGGGGACTCCGGAGGCAGTTCCGTGAGAAACTGATGGGGGCTCCTTGGGCAGAGGGTCTGCGATGAGCCGTATCGGGCAGTCTGTAGTGAGCCGTGGTTAGGAGCCCGTGTCGAGGCATCCCTGGACAGCCGTGATCGGGGGTGTGGCTGGGGGTGGGGTCTGTGGGGTAAGTAGCGGGGGATCTGCGGGAACCGTGATAGGAAGTCTGTGGAATAAACCATGCGGTGTCTGCGAAAACCTCTGATGGGGTGATATGTGGTGAATATATGTGCAGGTTTGTTATGAGCAGTTCTGGAGTGTAGATAGTGTTTCCGTGGGGTGAGTGACGGGAGGGCTGTGACAGGGGTGGAGATTTATAAGCAGAGTAAAGGGATATTGACAGAGTGGTGGGGGTCTCTGGGGGCCACGATGGCGAGATTTATGAGCCATGATGAGAAGTCCATGGGCTGAGTGGGGATCTTCGCTGAGCCGTGATGGGGCTGTACTGGGGGATGTGCCACCATGATGGGGGTTTTTTAAGGAGCCATAATGGGGATGTCCCACAGGAGGGAGATGGTTCAGACCCAGAACCTCCAGATACTGGGGAGGACAGCAAGTCAGAGAATGGGGAGAATGCGCCCATCTACTGTATCTGCCGCAAACCAGACATCAACTGCTTCATGATGTGAGCCTGGGAGAGGTGGGTGGGACTGACACCTGGCAAGGTTGGGTGAGGCTGATGGGTCATGCCCCCTCACCTCTCCACCACCTGCTCCATCCTGTGCAGTGGGTGTGATAACTGCAATGAGTGGTTTCATGGGGACTGCATCCGCATCACTGAGAAGATGGCCAAGGCCATACGGGAGTGGTACTGTCGGGAGTGCCGAGGTAAGGGGTGTGGGGTGCACAGGGAAGGCAGGTGAGGCTGGGAGGTTGGGTCATGGGGAGTAGCTACGTTATGTCCATGGGCAGAGTGATTGCTGGTCTGAGGTGAGCTGGAATTGGAGCTCCACTGTGAGCAGTACTAGAGGATCCCACAGGAACGGGTAGCTCTGCCCTGGATCCATGGGGTACAGCAAGTACGTGGGACAGTAAGGGAAAGCAAAAGAAGAAAGTGGGTCTGGGACCATTCAAGCCCCCCCATGCAAACCCACCTTGGCCTCACCCTTTGTCCCACAGAGAAAGACCCTAAACTGGAAATTCGCTATCGGCACAAGAAGTCACGGGAGCGAGACAGCAATGAGCGGGACGGCAGTGAGCCCCGGGATGAGGGTGGAGGGCGCAAGAGGCCTGTCCCAGATCCGGACCTGCAGCGCCGGGCAGGGTCAGGGACAGGGGTTGGGGCCATGCTTGCTCGGGGCTCTGCTTCGCCCCACAAATCGTCTCCACAGCCCTTGGTAGCCACACCCAGCCAGGTGAGTGGCTGCAGTGTTTGGGATGGGTAAAGTGATCCTATCTTGGGCTCTCCTTGGGTTGTTGATATCTGTTCTGGGCATCTTCCTCCAGCATCACCAGCAGCAGCAGCAGATCAAAAGGTCAGCCCGCATGTGTGGTGAGTGTGAGGCATGCCGACGCACTGAGGACTGTGGCCACTGTGACTTTTGCCGGGACATGAAAAAGTTTGGGGGCCCAAACAAGATCCGGCAGAAGTGCCGGCTGCGTCAGTGCCAGCTGCGGGCCCGGGTGAGCAAGGACAGAGCTGGGCCAGGTCGGGTTGGGGTGGTGGAGGGCTGTTGGGTCCAAGAAGGGCTGGTTGAAGCTAGGCATGGATGGGCCAGGTGGGGTGGGGCCTAATTGTATCCAGGGAAGGGACCTGGCATGTCCAGATGAATGGGGCATGACCAGGTGTGCTGGGTTGGCAGGAGAACCCCACAATCCTGGGTGGGCAGGGTGGGGCTAGTTGTTTTCAGGTGGTCAGGCACGTCAGGGCAGATCAGGCAGAACTGAACATGGCCTGGTGGTGAGGGATAGGGGGACAGGTGCAACTGGGGAGGCAAGGCAAGGCTAGGTGGGTGGGGCCAGGGCAAGGCCACCCTCCATCCACATGGGGCTGACCTGGGCCTTCCTCCTGCCGGCACAGGAATCGTACAAGTACTTCCCTTCCTCGGTGAGTCCAGCCCCCCAGGGCGGGGCGGGGCATGCGGGCAGGGCGGTCAGGGCCAGTCCTGAGATTCTGCCCCGCAGCTCTCGCCGGTGACACCCTCAGAGTCCCTGCCAAGGCCCCGCCGGCCACTGCCCACCCAACAGCAGCCACAGTCATCACAGAAGCTGGGGCGCATCCGTGAAGATGAGGGAGTAGTGGCATCATCAGCCATCAAGGAGCCACCCGAGGCTACAGCCACACCTGAGCCACTCTCGGATGAGGACCTACCACTGGACCCTGACCTGTACCAGGACTTCTGTGCAGGGGCCTTTGATGACCATGGGCTGGTGAGCAGGCACTAGCATCTCATGGTGGAAGGGTGGAGGTTACAGAAGCAGAGAGAATCCCTAATGAGGAGAGAGGAGGCAGAGGATATGGAAGGCTGATTGGGCAACGAGTAGGTGGTAGCATTGTCATGAGTGGGGAAGATGGGTCAATGTGTGCCCTGCCTGCAGCCCTGGATGAGCGACACAGAAGAGTCCCCATTCCTGGACCCTGCACTGCGGAAGAGGGCAGTAAAAGTGAAGCACGTGAAGCGTCGGGAGAAGAAGTCTGAGAAGAAGGTGATGGAGAGGGCAAAATGGATGTGGAATGAGAGAGGATGGGGTGGGGAGGGAGAGGAAGAGGTCAGGGGCTAAATGGGGCAAGAGCCAGAAAGCGCTGGAACGGAGGGGAATACAGGGGTCTGGGGCTGACTTCGCTTCCACCCTGTCCTTACTTGTCTTGCCCTGTAGAAGGAGGAGAGATACAAGCGGCACCGGCAGAAACAGAAGCATAAGGACAAATGGAAACACCCAGAGAGGACTGATGCCAAGGACCCTGCATCACTACCGCAGTGCCTGGGGCCTGGCTGTGTGCGCCCTGCCCAGCCTGGCTCCAAGTATTGCTCAGATGACTGTGGCATGAAGCTGGCAGCCAAGTGAGTCATTCTTGGGGGGGGGAGGTCGTTAAAGGTAGTTAGGAAGTACAGGGTAGGCATGAACAGAGCCCTCCATGTCTACCAATTAGTCACCTATTCACCACCATTTGGTCAACCAAACACCCACCTGTTTATCTACCCACCCACCCATCCATCTACCATTCAGTCACCTATTTACTTACTTTTTCACCATTTAGTCACCAATCCATTTTGCCATCCTTTGGTCACCTCACTCATCTTGTTACTTGCCACGTTCCCTGCCATGCACCCCACACACTGCCATCCTGCAGCCGCATCTACGAGATCCTCCCCCAGCGCATCCAGCAATGGCAGCAGAGCCCCTGCATTGCTGAAGAGCATGGAAAGAAGCTGCTCGAACGCATTCGCCGTGAGCAGCAAAGTGCCCGCACCCGCCTCCAGGAAATGGAGCGCCGATTCCACGAGCTCGAGTCCATCATTGTGCGTGCCAAGCAGCAGGCTGTGCGCGAGGATGAGGAGGTGAGCAGGCAGGGGCCCAGCACGGCAGGGCCTGGTACTTGGTCCCGTGTGACCTCATCTTTTTTTCCACTCTGTGCAGAGCAACGAGGGTGACAGTGATGACACAGACCTGCAAATCTTCTGCGTCTCCTGTGGGCACCCTATCAACCCACGTGTTGCCTTGCGCCACATGGAGCGCTGCTATGCCAAGGTCAGGGTGTCAACCTGAGGGGGTGCACAGTGTGGGAACGTCAGTGGGCCACGCAGGACAGAGTTGCTGTCTGGGTGGTGTCTTGGGAGGGAATGCAGCACACATCCACAGTTCCGTCCATTTGTGCTCATCCCTCCAGTATGAGAGCCAGACGTCCTTTGGGTCCATGTACCCCACGCGTATTGAAGGGTGAGTGAGGGTGCCACACAGCGTTAGTGGAGGGGGGTCAAGGCTGGGGTCAGAAGTAAAATGTGTCTGGAGCTGGGGCGTGGGCAAGGATAGGTCGGCCTTCTTCCTTCTGTCTCCATCCCCTCTCTCTACTCCAAACCCCAGGGCCACACGACTCTTCTGTGATGTCTACAACCCTCAGAGCAAAACATACTGTAAGCGACTCCAGGTGCTATGTCCTGAGCACTCACGGGACCCCAAAGTAAGGTTTTCCCTTAACTCCCCCCATTCTGCCCTTCCTCCCTGCCTCACTGTCCCACATTGATCCCTTTCTTCCTCACCTGCCCTGCTTCCTTCCTTTTCCCTTACCCAGCCACTTCTATTCCTCTCACTTTCCTTGCTGCATCACACTCCATTCCTCTCCTTTTCCATGTTTCTTCACCCTCCCCTGAACTCTCCATTCCTTCCCTTCTTCCTCCCTAAGCGCCCATTTCTAGACTCTTCCCTCGCCAACCTTATTCATCCCCACCCCTGGTCTCCCTGCAGGTGCCAGCCGACGAGGTATGCGGGTGCCCCCTTGTACGTGATGTCTTTGAGCTCACAGGTGACTTCTGCCGCCTGCCCAAGCGCCAGTGCAATCGCCATTACTGCTGGGAGAAGCTGCGGCGTGCCGAAGTGGACTTGGAGCGCGTGCGTGTGGTAGGTTTTGATGCTGGATGTGGCCAGGGTCAGGTGGGGCTTCAGGTGCCACTTCTTATGGCTCCTTCCACTCCCTTGGCAGTGGTACAAGCTGGATGAGCTGTTTGAGCAGGAGCGCAATGTTCGCACAGCCATGACAAACCGAGCAGGATTACTGGCACTGATGCTGCACCAAACAATACAGCACGACCCACTCACTACCGACCTGCGCTCCAGTGCTGACCGCTGAGCCTCATGGACCCAGAACCCTCCCTGCATTCCAGATGGGGGAACTGTCGTGCATCCCACGTGTCCAGTCCTCCATTCATCTGTTTCTTTGACTGTCCCTGAGTTTCTCCCTGTGCCCATGCACCATTTGACTGCCCATCTGCCCTTACCGAAGGGTCTCAGAATTTCCCTCCGTCCTTGTCTCTCCATTTTCTGTGCCTGGGCTGTGGAGTCTACTCACCTTGCCTCCCCCCCTCCCTGGGTTTTGTTAATAAAAGTTTGAAGAACCAAGGAAGATAACTCCTGATGGTCTCCACACTTGCTGCAGTAGCAACTGTGTTCCCAAAGCCCTGGACACACCTGGCCTCAGGAGGGGCTGCAGTGTAGGCTGAGTATACACTTGGTACCCACTCTGTGCTCTTGTGGGCTGTGGGGACTTGTCAAGGGACAGCCCAATGACCAATATTCTCAGCTTCTCGTTTTGGGAGTGGGCATAGCGCCAGCACTCATTCAGTGTGTAGCTGATTTACCACTCCTGTGTGAGTGTTAATATCCTCCAGACCAGAGGCATATTCAGTGATGGATGCAAACCCCAGTTTTGGGACACGCATAAAACACGAGTCCACTCTGTGCTGGGAATCCCACCTCATCCCCTCTCTTAGTCGCGGCACAGCTTGGCCTTTGGGGAGTGGACACACCCTCACTCCATGCCTGTCCTCTGTTTACCTGCAGCGCGGCACCGCCCCCTTCCCCAGTTTCTAACGAAGGCGCTGGGGCCTGCGCGCCGCGGAACTCGTTGCCTCCAACCTCCCGCAACTGATCAGCGGGGAGGAGAGAGCAGGACACAATGGCCCTCGGGGAAATGTAAAGAGGGACCTGAGAGCACTGGCGCGACCTAGGGGAGAGGTGAGAGAAGAGGGTCGGCTGGAAAAGGGAGTGCGCAGGCGCAACCCCAGCCTTCGCCGCCGCTTCCGGTTTCCTCGTCGAGGGGCCAGAGGGGACAGAGAGCGCAGGCGTAACCCCTACTGTCACGCCTCCTTTGGTTGGGACTGGAGGGCGCAAGCTCTTGCGCAGCGTGGGGAGGACGTGCCGGCTAGAGGAAGGAAGAGCGCAGGCGCTGCAGGTCCGTGCTGGTTCGAGAGGGGCGCGTGGATCTTAGCGCGCAGGCGCAGTAGATCCCCGGCAAAGGGCGCGACGCTGTGGGATGTCAGCACGCAGGCGCAGCAACCGCCCCACTACGGGCACGCGCCGTCGAGGCGTTAGAGCGCAGATGTTTCGCCGGAGGCGGAGCCCTAGAGGCAGGCAGCGGATTTCCGGTTCCGGGAGCAACCAACGGCAGCGGAGGCGACAGCTACCGCTTGAGAGAAGTCGACTGTGGAGGAGGAAGAAGAGTAGGGCAAGGCGGGAGGTGAAGTCGGGACCATCGCCATGGGTCCTCGATCCTAGAGCGGCGGGAGCTACTGTCCTGGTGCCAAGCTGGTAAGACAGCCGTGGGAGTGGAAGTGGAGATCGCTCAAGCGCCGCGGATGGGGAGGAATTGAGGTTCACATCGCTGACGGGGAAGAATGAAGGGCCCTCAGGCCGATGAAGGGGAGGAATGGCGGCGTTAGAATATTGAAAGGGAGGGTTGGGGGAGTAGGCGGAAGACGAGGAGTGGGGCTCAGAACTCTGACAGGTGGAAGTGTCGGAATCCTAGGACGAGGACAGAGGAATCGGGGAAAGCAGAACGCTGAGGGGAGATATTGGGGCCTCTCAGGAAGAGGGAAATAGGGGTTCAGAACACTGAGAGGGAGAAATGAGGGGCCCTCAGGCTGATGACAGGGAGAAATGCGGTGTCGGAATCCACAAAGGGAGGTACAGGGCGATCATATGGAAGACGAGGAGAAATAGGGGGTCAGAACGCTGACAGTTATGGATGGCATGATCCTGAGACAAGAACGGAGAGGAATGGTTGGGGGTGGGATTTTGAAGGCTGAGGGGAGAAATAAAGGCTTATGAGAGAAAAAGGGAGGAGTGGGGACCTTTTTGGCTGTAGGGGAGAGGAATAGGGAAGTTTTGAAGCTGAGATGGAGGAGGAATTGTGGGTGAGAACACTGAGGGAGAGGGAAAATAAGGGGAGTACTTGGGCTGAGAAGTAGGGGAATAGGAGGCTTCTAGACTAAGGAATGAGGAGCTGTCCAGGCCAAGGATATGGAGGAGTTGGGGGCTCTCTCACAGAGGATGCAGAGGAAGTTGAAGTCATAACACTGCGGGAGCAGGATAAGAGGACATCAGACAGGGAAGGAATGTGATGGTTAAAACTGAAGGAGAGAAATTGGGAACTCCTGGCTCAAGGAAGGGAGTGGAGGAATGGAAGGGCAGAACACTGAAGTAGAGTACTGAAGGCAAGAGGAATGGAGGCCTCTTGGGCTGAGGATGGGAGGAATGGGTTCTCTCAGGCTGAGGATGGGGAGTATGGAAGTCTTATGGTGACAAAGGCAAAGAATAGGGACTCTTAGGTAAAAGACAGGGAATGTTTCCTGTACCAAGGACAGGAAAAAATGAGGGGAAAGAATGAAACATTCCAGGGTTGGCAATGGCAAGAGATGATGGGCTCTTAGTCTGAGGATGGGGAGAAAGAGGGAATCAGGACACTGACAGTAAGGAATGGGGACACTTGGGTTGAGGGTTAGGAGCAGTGGAAGCTACCAGGTCAAGAAGGGGGAGGAATGAGGAGTTCCTGGGCCCAGGACAGGGAAGAATGGGGTGGGCATGCAAGGAGGGTTTTCTTCCATATATGAGCTGGTTACCTATGACAGATCCTAGATCTTGGGAGAGCAGTAATGGGTAACAGTGATTTGTGTCACCTGGGGCATAGTTTGTCCCTTCTTAGAGCCTCAGTTTGCCCCATACCCCTCTCCCCGCACTTTGCAGGCTGCTGCTCCTTCCCATTGCTTCCATGGCTGAGGACTGGCTGGACTGCCCAGCCCTGGGCCCTGGCTGGAAGCGCCGTGAGGTCTTTCGCAAGTCAGGGGTCACCTGCGGGCGCTCAGACACCTATTACCAGAGGTACTGGGTGGGTTGTGGGCAGAGTCGCGGGTGGGGCTGAGCCTGGTTAGGGGCAGGGTGAAATCAGAGGGTATGGTTAAACTTATGGGTAGAGTTAAAATCATGCACATGCAGTTAATTCTCATTGTTCACAGATTTCATATTCGCAAATTCATCTACTTAGTAAAATTTATTGGTAACTCCAAAGTCAATAGTTGTGATGTTTTCATAGTTATTTGCAGACATTCATAGAGCAATGAAAAATTTCAGTCACCCAATGCATGGATTCCCAGCTGAGGTTGAACAAGACCTTTCTGTTTTAGCTTTCATACTGTAAACAAGCATCCTTTTCCTGGTCTATTTAGTGCCACAGTTTTCCCATGTTTGTGCTTTTTGTTGGTGATTTTGCTGTTTAAAGTTGCCCCCAAGTGTATTGCTGAAGTGGTGTGTAGTATTCTGAGTGCAGGAAGGCTGTGATGTGCCTTACGGAGAAAATACCTGTTAGATAAGCTTCTTGCAGGCATGAGTTACAATGCCGTTGGCTGTGAGTTCAGTGTTATGAATCAAAAGTATGGTACATCCAGAAAAAGAAGAGGAAATTTGCCAGTGCGTATGTGAAGCTGCTCTGGAAAGTACAAAAAGTAACATCTGTAGTACTTGATGAATCTAAGGAAAAGACAGGAAAGCAGCTAAATGTGTTGATCTGTGAAATGATGACCGATAAAGCGTAGAGGACAGCATTGTTATGAGAAAAGCCAAAGTCATGTTATCCAGGGTTAGGAAAATATTAAACCAATCTCAGCTAGTGCTGGCTGGCTTGCACATTTCAAAAGGTGATACAGCGTGAAAGATGTTAAATGTGCATGCAGTGCAGGCTCTGCAGATCAGGAATCTGCGGAAGACTTTTAAAAATACCTACTAAGTGTTATACAGGAAAAGGGTTATATAGAAGAGTAGGTTTTCAATGCCAGTGAGCCTAGCTTGTTTTACAAGAACATTTGCAAATGAACCTATGTAATGCAAACAACCTCCAAAGCCCCTGGCTTTGAATCATTCAAAGACTATGCATTTAATCATTTGTGAGAAATATATATTAAGTAAGGTGTCTTTAAACAGAAACACACATAAAACAGGTTGTATATTGATTGGTTGATGAAAATGTTATGACCAGAGGCTCACAGGAACCTAACCCTGTATTTCCCCTAGGAGCAATGGCTCTATATTTACTAATTCAGGGTTCATGGCGACTTTATAGAACATAACTACCATGAATAGTGAGAATTGACTGTAAATACATAAATGTAGGTGTTTAGAAACATTTACATGTATTTTAGGATATATTAATGATGTGGTTTTTAGATTTCCTACACTCTTCCTCACTTTTTTTTTGTACCTAAGTTGTCATTTTCCTAGGTGGATATAGTAAAATTACAAATGCAATTACTTTTTTGTTTATATTCAGTTGCAATTTTTTCCTATATTTACATACTTGTATAAAACTTTTAAAATTTACAAATATAAGTGCAGTTGTCAGGAATTATAAAGGATATGAGATTTTACCCTAATTAGGACAAGATAGCAAGTAAATTTGTCACAGTTTTTTGGATGCTGATTGGAGATATGAGATTCCTGAGTCAGAGATGAAAACAGTTTATTAGTCACAGCAGTAGCAGGATCTGGAATACAGTAGTACTCTCTTATTTGCGGGTTTGCTTTCCGTAATTTGTTATCCCCTGTCGGCCGTGGTTCAAAAATATTACATGGAAAATTCCAGAAATAAACAATTCATAAGTTTTAAATTGCATGCCATTCTGAGTAGTATGATGAAATGTCACGCACTCTTGTGCTTGGATTGTGAATCATCTAGCGTATCCACACTGTATGTGCTACCTGCCCGTTAGTCGCTTAATAGCCATCTTGGTTATCAGATCAAAAAAACATAGTATATACGTTCAGTACAATCTGAAATTTCAGGTGTCCACTGGGAGTCTTGGAATATATCTCCTGTGTGTGAGTGGGGGAATACTGAGTCATCATTTCTGTGCCAGTTCCCCAAATCCCAATTCCCATAGGATAATGTGAAGAGGGCTAAATATCACCCACACACTCAGTGAGTTGTATTATAGGAAAGGAACTCTGAGTTTAGGGAATTAAATATTTTATTTGCTCTGGAAGGAGAAACTATCTCTTATCTTCCAAGGTTGTTTGCTTTACCAACATCCTTGAAAAGATAGTTTATTACAAAGGACAATCAGCATCTCTCTTGCAAAACAAGCAGAAATCCAAAAGACCCTAGGAGTATTGTCTCCCAACATCAGTTGCATATGCTTTATTTTGTATGTATTTGCATTTATTTATAGGTTTTTAAAGCATTTGTGTTGTCCTTTTTTTACTTGATTATGTATTTGGTATGCAATGCTAATGTGTTTACACGTTTTTTAATATATCCGTGTTCCTACTTGAGTTTATTTTTACTTACATAAAGTATTTTCAATACCACCAATGTTATACATTGTAAATACATTTGTGTTTATTTACACTTATGTTATTTATTGATATTTGTATACATGATAGTATTTATATTCATGTTTTATATGCCTGTTAATTAGGGTTAGTTAGGCTGGGGCCTGGGCAGGGTTCACAGGCAGATTCCAGGCTGCCTCCCATATCCCACCAGCCTTGTGGGAGGGTTGTGTGGGTGGAATGGCATTGGCTTTACTTGGGTGACAACCCATCCTGGCCCATCCCAGCCCTACAGGAGACAGGATCCGAAGCAAAGTTGAGTTAACCCGGTACCTGGGCCCTGCGTGTGACCTCACTCTCTTTGACTTCAAACAAGGCATCTTGCGCTATCCAGCCGCAAAGGTATTTCATGATGTGGGGTGCCCAGGCAGAGGTGGCTGTACCATTTAACACCCACTGACCCACAATTTCTACTGTCCTCACACTCATCTCTAGGCCCATTCCTTGGTCGTCCCCAGCAAGAAGCAAAAGAAGCCTTCGAGGCCGGCCAAGACACGGAAATGTCAGGTTGGATCCCAGAAGGGTGAGGTCAAGAAGGATGCCCTGGGGGATGATACCAAAGCTGACACTGACACAGCTCCAGCTTCGTTCCCTGAGCCTGGGTGAGTGTTGGCCTAAGGTGAGACAAACGGGTGAGGGTTGTGATTGGGGTGCTTTCAGGGCCCCACACCTGTCTTTGTTATCCCAGGTGCTGTGAGAACTGTGGAATCAGCTTCTCAGGCGATGGTACCCGAAGGCAGCGGCTCAAGACATTGTGCAAGGACTGCCGAGGTAAGTGGCTTCTAGGGGATGGGGCAGGCCCTGTGTTAGGCTAGGCTGGGGATTGAATGGTGGCTGTCAGGACAGAGGCTACAATTGTGGGCAGAGGTTGGATATTGGAAGTATCAGGTCTAGGTAGAGGGTGAACAGTGGGAGTCAGGGCAGAGGCAGTGGGTGAGGTCAGGTGTCTCTTTCTCCCTTTTTACTTCTCTCCTTCTCTCTCCCTCCCTCCAGCACAGAGAATTGCCTTCAACCGGGAGCAGAGGATGTTTAAGGTAAGCACAACCTGCTTCCTCCTCACAACCCCGCAGTGGAAGCGGATGTGATGGGGCTGGTAGAGGGTCTGCAGGAATGGCGATGGGTCTACAGGGTGTCAGAATCATTTTATAGAGCTAGCCATGGGTCACTAGACACGATAATGGGAATTAATAGGGTGTCGTTAGACACGGTGATGAAGTTCACAGAGGACTAGCTGTCATAGTAACGGTCTCAGTGATGGCTGCTAACCAGTAATTATTAGATACAGTGATTAGGCTAGTGGGGACTAGCAGATGTGGTGATGGGTACTGATGTAGGGTCAGCAGACACAGGAGAGGCAGTGCTCTTGGAGCCACTCTGACCAGGCCTGTGACCTTGCCCCACTCATTAATGGCAGCGTGTGGGCTGTGGAGAGTGTGCAGCCTGCCAGGTAACTGAAGACTGTGGGGCCTGCCCTACCTGCCTGCTGCAGCTGCCCCGTGATGTGGCCTCGGGGCTATTCTGCAAGTGTGAGCGGAGACGCTGCCTCCGGATTGTGGAAAGGGTGAGTTGGGTAGGTGGGGTGGTCCCAAAGCTCACCGAAGCCCCTGGCACTTATGACCCTGGCCCCATGCATCAATGCCTCTGCCCCCCCCACACACACACAGAGCGGAGGGTGCGGAGTGTGCCGGGGCTGTCAGACCCAAGAGGACTGTGGCCGTTGCCAAGTCTGCCTTCGCCCTCCCCGCCCTGGTCTCAGGCGTCAGTGGAGATGTGTCCAGCGGCGCTGCCTACGGGTGAGTCAGGCCAGAGCAGGCAGAGCTCATCTTGCTGTTGTAGTTGCCACTACTGCCGCTTCCTCTCAACCTGGCCTTGCCCACCTCATGTCTTCTTTTCTCCCCCACCCCACACTCATCTACCTGCCCCTGTGTGTCAGCACCTTGCTCACCGACTTCGTCGCCGCCATCAGCGATGTCAGCGACGCCCTCCCCTGGCTGTGGCTCCCCCTGCTGTGAGTGCCCCACCCCACCTCTGCCTGCCTGTCCTGTGCATGATCTCTGTACTCTCAGGGGGTTCTTTGTCTGCCTGGTGCTACCAAGCCTAAACCACCCTTTTGTATCTCTTCCAGGGTAAACATGGTCGCCGTAGGGGAGGCTGTGACTCCAAAATGGCTGCCCAGCGACGTCCCCGAGCTCAGCCACTGCCTCCGCTTCCCCCATCAGAGCCCCCAGAGCCCACAGAGCTGGTGAGGCCCCAGTGGGCAGGGGGAAGGCACAGCCCTAATCTTACCCAGTACCTGCCCTGACCCCACCCCCTTTGCCTCTGCAGCACCCCAGAGTCCTGGCCCCCTCGCCACCTGCTGAGTTCATCTATTACTGTGTAGACGAGGACGAGCTAGTGAGTGGTTCCACCCTACCTGGATAAACATAGACCCTCTCAGAACCCTTGGTTATCCCCAAAGAAGCAGATGCTGTAATGGGCCTAATAGGGGAGTAGTAAGGCACTGTAATGGGTACTTGGATGGGATGAGCAGATAAGAGGAGAAGAACTAATGTGGGATCAGCAGATGCAATGACAGTGCCTAATGTCAGGTACACCAGTGCCTAATGTCTGGTGGCTAATACGTGACTAGCAGACACAACAATGGGCTAACAGAGGAGCAGGCAGCACGGGCTAGGGTTCACGTAGGATGAGCAAACAAAGCAGGCGCAGTAGTAGGAGTTAATTGAGGGCCAGCAAAATCCTACTGGAGGTGAGGGTCAAAGACATTGTCTTGGTAGCTAGTTCAGGACTGGCAGGTAGACTGATGGATACTGTAATAGAGCAGCCACAGTCCTAATAGTATTGAGGGCCAGCCAACACAGTGATAGTGGCCAATGTTGAACTAGCAAACACTGAGGTGTGACCAGTTGGGAGTCGAGAGGCTGACTAGTGTGCAACTCACCCCCTCCAATGGGGCTAGAGGAGCTCAGGACCAGCCATGGAGTAGGTGTTAAAGGTAGCCTCTCCTAGTCCTAGTGACAGCACCACCATTCCCCTCACCCCAGCAGCCCTACATGAACCGCCGGCAGAACCGCAAGTGCGGGGACTGTGCAGCCTGCCTACGGCGGACGGACTGTGGCCGCTGCGACTTCTGCTGCGACAAGCCCAAATTCGGGGGCAGCAACCAGAAGCGCCAGAAGTGTCGTTGGCGCCAGTGCCTGCAGTTTGCCATGGTGGGTGGGACAGGAAGGGTCAGGTGGATGGGATAGGTTGGGCTAGGTGCCCCAGTGCCTGGGAGTGGTGGGCAAACCTGGTAGGTGGGTGGGCAGGGCAATGGCTTTGGCCAAGGATTAGTAGACATTGCACTGGGGTAAATGAGCATAGGTGGCACTGGCATTGCTCATGGGAGACTAGCAGGCTCAATGATGAAAGGCTCATATGTAAGCAGATTCTGTGCTGGGACTAGTGGGAGGTTAGCAATCATGTTGTGCAGGGCAAGGTGTGGTCAGTTATGGCACCAGGCAGCCATAGCACCCCCTCTTTCCTCACAGAAGCGGCTGCTGCCCAGTGTCTGTTCAGAGTCCGAAGATGGGGCAGGATCACCCCCACCGTGCCGTCGTCGAAAGAGGCCTGGCTCTGCTCAACGGCCCCTGAAGCCCCCCTTGACTACACGCACAACCCGACCAGGCTGTGCCAAGGCTCCAATGAAACAGGAAGCAGGTGGTGGCTTTGTGCTGCCCCCACCTGGCACCGACCTTGTGTTTTTACGGGAAGGCGCAAGTAGTCCTGTGCAGGTGCCAGGCCCTGCTGCAGCTTCCACAGAAGCCCTATTGCAGGTGAGGGCCCCACCTTATCCTGCTCTTCCCAGCCCTACCCAGCCTTGTGCCAGGGAGCTGAGACCAAGTCTGCTGCAATCCTCCCTCACGCAGGAGGCCCAGTGCTCTGGCCTGAGTTGGGTTGTGGCCTTACCCCAGGTGAAGCAAGAGAAGGCGGATGCCCAGGAAGAGTGGACACCGGGCACAGCCATCCTGACTTCTCCTGTATTGCTGCCTGGCTGCCCTAGCAAGGTGGGGGCAGTAATGGGTGTCCTGTTGATGCCATAATGGGGTGGTCTGTAAGCAGAGTGATAGGTGTGCTGATTGCAACCTTTCCGCAGTTTCCCTGCCTGTCTAACAGACACCCCACCCTCCACAGGCAACTAGCTTTGCCCGCTTTGCTGCCCAGCTAACAGAAAAATGGAGATGAGTGAGGAATGGGAATTGGGAAGGTTTGTAGGCAGAGAGATAGCATCTGTGCTAAACTGATGTAACTGAGATTTGTGAGCACAGTGACTGTGCTGCTAGAGATTTGTGAGTACAGTTGTTGGCTGATAGAGATTTCCCACAGGCCGACCCTGCCCTTCTAACTGCTGCATGTTTCCCACTTCTCCCAGGCAGTAGACCCAGGCCTGCCACCTGTGAAGCAAGAGCCACCTGACCCTGAGGACGATAAGAAGGAGAACAAGGATGACGCTGCCTCTGAATCAGCCCCAGAGGAAGAGGCAGGAGGGGCTGGCACGCCTGTGGTCAGTGCTAGGGGATGTCCCACCCTGCCCTGCCCTGCCTTAGCCTCACCGGTCCTGATGACCCATGATGTTAATTCTTCCCTAGATCACGGAGATTTTCAGCCTGGGTGGAACCCGCTTCCGGGACACAGCAGTCTGGTTGCCAAGGTGTGCCCCGCACAGTGAGGGGTGGGGAATGGGTGGGAGCCCACCAGATGTGGGCCCTGAGTTTTGAAAGTCCAGCCGGCAATTTGGCATGGTACAGTGGTAGGTACAGGTCCCGCACCGACTGTGCTGACTATGATCAGTGAGGGGGTGTATTCAGGACCACAGAGATTTCTCCTGAGACCCAGCCCAATAGCATTCCAGGTCAGGGTTCTGCCGGGGGCAGGGAAGCGGTGGGGCAGGGGACTCAATGCCCAGCGATAAGAGTTAAAAAGAAAGATAAGGGGTGTCTGGTTCCCATCTCCCTAAGAATAGCCTGCAGATGTCAGACAATATATAAATTCTTATTCAGAAAACAATCATTTGGGGTCATGAAGGCCTTTGAAGTCTCCAAGAAATCACTTTAGAGTGGGCTGTCCCCTGGTGATGGGGAGTGTGTGTCACAGAAGTGGGGCTGGGCTGGGCTGGGCAGTGGGTTGTGTGGGAAATCTGGGTCCACACGTAGCTATGTGACCTCCAGCTCATCTTGCTCCTCCGAGACCAGCTTTTGTGGATGGGTTCGAGTTGGGTCTCTTGAGACTTTCCTGAGCCTGTTAAGGTTATTAACTGTTTCAGCGGCTACACAGAACTGTCCCCATAGGCCAGACAATAGGATGATGGGTAGGTGTCTGTAAAGACTGGGATGGTGAGAACAGGACAGGGGAATTCTGGCTCCTGCAGAATGTTGACAGGCCCTGCACAGAACCCCAGACACAAGCAACAACTGTGGCCTAAGCACCTGGATTTCTTTGTTTCTACAAACCATTTCCAGCAGACAGAAACTCTTCCAGCTGTACTTGGGTGATTACAGAGGTACTTATTGAGCCCCTGCTGGGTGCACAGCAGTGTGGGAGACACAGCAATGAATACAGTGAGCTCTGTAAGGCTTACCCTTAAGGGGACACAGTATCCCTACATTCAGGGAGCTTATAATTTAACTGGAAACAATACATGTTAACAGAAAAGGTGCTGTGCTGTCTGTAATGGTGTTTTTAGAAGAGAGGAAAGAAAAGGGGAAATGGATGGAGGACATGGAATAGGAGGAAATGGTTTTGTGATGCTCCATTTTGCACAGAGCAAACCTCATTCAACATGCAGACCTGCTCCTTCTTCTCTAGGTCCAAGGACCTTAAAAAACCTGGAGCTAGAAAGCAGTAGACTGGAGGCTTCTGCAGACTGTAGGATTCGAGGTGATATTTGCAGACCGGCTTTATGAGAGACAACACTGATCTACTAGGGCTGGACCATAGATTGGTTGTCAAGGCTTTTGTCAGCACCAACCCTAGGATGAAAACCTAGCCCCAAACCGGAGGAGGAGGTCAACTCAGTTCTTTGAGCTTACAGAAGTAAGCAGAAAGGAAGAGGAAGTCAGAGTAGAAAGTTTGTACCTCTGCTCCTCCCTGAGAGCCTGAGTGTGAAAAGAAGTTGGATGTTAGGGGTGGGGGATGTGGGGTGGGGAAAGGGGATATAATTAAAGCCACCACCAAACAACCTAAACAAGCCATCTTCATAAATCATTTTAAGTGGCTTCTGGATGAGACCTGGCAGTGTCTCTCAACATTTCCTCAGGGAGGCAACATTGAAAATGTAATGTGAATAAATGAGAGGAAAGGAAAGGAACTGCTGTTTGGTGAGTTCCTCCTGTGGACCCAATTTATTTAATCTGCACAATAAACAGTCTTTTTAGGAAGACATTGATTTTGCGCATTTTTGCAGATGAGAAAATTGAGACTCAAAAGAGATTAACTTTCCCAATGCAAATAGCTAGTGTTAGTAGAGCCTAGAATAGAATTGAGGCTGTAAAGGACCTTGTTCTTTAAGCTACTAAACTGTAAACTGTAATTCTGTATGCAATAATGTGTAATATTATAGTAAAAGGAGTTTTCAGTGATCTTGAAAACACACAGTGGGTTACTATAAATACTAAAATAAATCCCTTATGCTCCTGCCTCTAGCATGGTTTAGGGAGTGCCAGGGCAGTATGTGGATACAGTCACCTTGTTGTCAGCATCTGTTTATCCAGAATCTGGGTTCTCTGCAGGACCAATGTGCTGCATAGGATTCCTCAGATCCTAAGGGGTATTCCTCCCTGCTGGATGCTGGCTATTTTGCTTGTTACCCTTACTCCCCCTCCTCAGCCAAAGCAGTCTTTGGGAACTAAAGCTGCCAGCTTGTTTCATCTTTGCTGACAATATTCATCTCCTGCCCTCTGATGATCTTTGTGCTTGGTTCCTGCCCTCAGCCTGAATGTCCACCGGGAGGCTAAATTCCTCCTTTGAGTCCTGCTCAAGGACCAGTCTTGGCTCAGCCTTACCTCACTCACTCTCTCCAAGACTTCATAAAGTGCCAAGAAAATTAGGCCTGTAAGTTTTTACTTGGCCAGCTTTACAGGGTCGGGACTGAGTGAGTGCCTCCTTAAGTTTTGTATCCTGTATGCCTCCCTCGCCTTACCTTTGTCCCAGCCCTTCAGCTTTAGGTATTTAGATGCTGATTAGCCATTTCCCAATTCTAACTCATACTGTACAGCTCTCTGCCACTCTTCTCTGCCCTTTCTTTGTCCTGCCTTACCTTGTTCAGCCCTAGTCAAGATTATGATAATGCTCTGTCCCCCCCAGGATCCAACCATCCAACCCTGGTATTCTGGTAACTTAGTGATGTTCCAAGGGAAATGTATTTGATTGGCATTCTGACTCATATGAGTTAAGAGTCTGATTACCATGTGTATTAGTCAGGGTACAATTAGAAGAGCAGAACCACTAAGATAAAGATAATGTATAAATGTATTTTAAGGGATTTATTATAGAGATTTGACTTTATGCAATTGTGGGAGCTGGTTAAACAGTCTCTGTAAGGCTGTTGTCTTTGCATCTAATGCTGGAGCTTGAAGTCTGCAGGGCAGGCAGTCGGGAAGGGAAGATGGATGTAAAGTGTGGGAGACCAAGGACACATTGGAGCCCAAGAGCACGAGCTGGAACCCACGAGGATGGACTGGAACCCATGTCAGTCTCTCGCCACCTCCAGCTTCGGTGATGTGGGTGTCCTGCAGAAGAAGCTGGTGCCCTTCCTCACAGAGTTAAATAAGCATCTGGCCCAGGACTTAGAGAAGCTGAAGGAAGATCCCGGGGAAGGTGGAGCAGCTGCAGGTCTGGCTGCAGGCCTAACTGCTGCCCCACACCAACGAGGTGAGCCAGCAGATAAATGACAACATGTGCAACCAGCAACAGCGCCTGGTGCCCCTGCACCAACCTTGCGAGTGTAAAAACAATATGCAGCTGCTTCACTTCTGCCCTCCAATTATCGGGCAAAATGCCTCTTGTGGGCCCATCCTAACTGGAAGCATACAGGCAAGGGAGTTTGGGAAACATAGCCTAGCCAAGGTGACATATTACAAAGCCACCCTGCCATGAATCAGCTCCCAAGGGTCTCACTACTCAACTGAGGATAACTTGATAAAACTTTGTTGCTGAAAATGCAAAGCTGAAGACCATGGATTTCATGGTGACCTCAGCAAGTACAGAAATTCTGTCAAGCCCACCTAGAAAAAACTTGCTGGTCTCGGCTATTTTTGTGTCGTTCACTCAAGTATTGAGAACCTAGCTCATGGTAGGCACTGTACTTAAAACTGGGATACAGAAATGAAAAGTATATGGTTCATGCAATTTTATTAAATGCATCAATATGTACTACAAATGGTGAATGGATTTCCAACTTTATTATGGAATTTAATGCTGAAAATATAGAATTAATGAAACTGTCAGCAGGACAGCCCGTTTGTGAACCTCGGGGCATGGTAGGAATTGGAAATAATTTAAATAGTTTCTATCTCTAAGCTGTTCTATTTTAAAGTTATTTTAAAATGATTTCTATTGTCCCATACACTGATTTATATGCTTAGTGTTTCTTCTGGGAATGTCTTGGTGGTAACAGTGTTGACTGTCGCTGAGAAACTGGGATAGTGGGTGGCAAGATCAAGGTCAGTTATGTGGAAAGACCTTGGGGGAATCACTTCTCTAGGCTTCGGAGGGCGTTGGCTGAAGGCTGAGAGGCTCACCGTGCTTGGCACCCGGTTCGACCCCTCCAACCTCAGGATGGGCCCGCCAGGGGGCGCGGGGGCGAGAGAACCCGCCCTTCCCGACCGCGGCCATCCAGCCAGAGCCCTGGAGTCACTACTCCCTAGCCTGGCCGCCCAGGGGCGTGGCCTCCGCCCTACGCAAACGCCTGACCCTGGGTCGGGCCCAAAGGGAAGCCGACTACCCCTCTTCAAGTAGTGGAAAAACAGGCAAAACCAGAGTTAAATTAAGGGGCTCGCCCAGGGTGAGGGCGCGGCACGACGAGCTCAGGACCAACGCAGGGACGTCTGAGGGCAGCCGGCTGTGGCCAAGGTTCGGCTTCCCCCGTCGCCTCCGAGAACTCACTTCGCGAGAGCCTCTGGGCAGCTCAACCTCGGGAATGCCCGACTGGGCAGCTCCAAATCTCTGCCTTTTCCTAAATCCTGCCCCGGACCGAGGTTTTCACTGTTTCCCTTCTTTCCCAAGGGTATGGGGTAGGGGGTTGGTTCTGCCCAAATCTACAGACGGGCCAGACGCCTGTGGGACTCGAAGATCAAAGAACCGCCCCTCAGGACACCGTCTAGAGAACCGAGACGACCGTCTAATTTCTTTCTTTTTTATTTGTTTCAGGCTACGTAAACTCTTAGCAGTAAATGAAAATGAGTATTTTACCGAACTGCAATTGAAAGAAGAAGCATTATAGGAGGAAAAGAGACAAAATGAGAGAGAATTATTAAAAGAGATTATTAAAGGAAAAAGACTATTTTCTGGCTGAAAAGCTGAACCAGCAATTCAGGAAATGGAATCCAAATCTAGAAACGTACCAGAAACAGAATCCGAAGTGGGTGGATTACAAATGATTAAGGAATGCTAATTTACAGTAAATGTCAGCCTTAAGAGGGCATACGCATTAGTTGTACTTTGGTTATTATTATACGTCAAACTGATGTAGGTACTGATATTTGTTCTGTGCTTGCCCCCCCCTCACTAGAATGGGAGTACCAAAGTGTCATTCTTAATTGGCTTTTAGTATCAACTACCACCCTGCTGTTGACTGGAAATACAACTGTGGTTTCCACCTGTGCTGAGGGCCCGTTCTAGGTTCCCTATTCTGTGTTGCCTGTTATCCTGCCTGGGATCCTGATTCTCAGGAACAAGTTACCTGGACTTCTGATCCACGTCCTGACCCTCTACTCAGCCTCTTGGTCTTTATTTTGCCCAGCCAGGTGCTACTGCCCCACCAGCCATTCAATCTGTCCTGTCTTCTAGGATACCCTAAGTCTAAGCCCTGGTTTCTGCACAGTGCAGTGCGAAGATTTTATTAATAACAGATTTATTATTACTAGTTGGGTGTTTTGACAAGGCACTTAGGCTCCCCGAGCCGTAATTGTCTTAGCTGTAAAGTGAGGATGATAATAACTGCTGTTCCATCAACCCTGTAAGATATTTGTGAGGCCCAAAGGGTGTACTTGTGAAAATACCTTGCAAGTTGTAAAGAACTACGCAAATATAAAGTTGTCCTGTGATGATTATTATCGTCTTCATCAAGATTAACCTAGAGATGATACAAAATTAATCTTCCCACAAAATGTCCAGTAACATTTTTTATGCTTTTAGGCCAATTACAGGATAAAAATAGTAAAGTCAATTGGAATTGTAATTAGAGCTTCAACTTCTCTTAGAGTTAAAGAGGTTTTTTATGCCATTTTGATGAACCCTAGAGGAAGGGAGCGAGCGAGGTCGGTGGGGGTCTGGCCAGGGGCGGGGTGAGGACCGCGCAGACTCAGCTTCTCGGCTGCAAGAGGAAGTCGCGAGTCCTGGCGTCCGTGGCCCCCATGGTGACGGGACTGACTTCCGCCCTACCCTCTCACCCTCACCAGCCCCTCACCCCGCGAGGTGCACCATGGCAACCAGATCTCTGCGTCGCGGAAGCTGGGCCCGCAGGTCGAAGGGGTTAGAGAACCGCGGCAGACGCCGCCCGCGTCTCGAAGGGGCTGGAAAATGTACAGCCAGCGGTTTGGCACCGTACAGCGGGAGATTAAGGGCCCCACTCCCAAAGTTGTGATCGTGGTAAGAACAGGATGTGTGTGCGGGATCCTACGGCTTTCTCCATCTTCCCGCACTACAGGCCTAGGCCAGCCCAACCTGGCCCCTAGCTTTCTCGAGGGATCGGGTGCCAGATGCGGTGGGTGAAAAGAAGGAAAGATAAGGTCGCTCACCTATCTACCCCTCCCCTTACCCGCCCATTCCCCTATATCCCCTTCCTCCCGCCGCCCCCGCTCCAATTATATTTAGGGTCTGTATATGGAGAATCACCACTTGTGAACTTGAGGTTTTTCTGTCTTCAAGACACCAGAAGGAAGTCTATCCCCTTGCAATGGGGAGTGTGTGTCGAGGAAAGGGCACTAGTCAGGGAGTCAGATCTGGGGTCTGGGCTGGCCATGATTCGGCTAAAAGACCTTGGCCTGGTCCTGTCCCCTAGGGAAATTGTACGTGGAAGGGGAATTGGGCTGTGAGGGGTTGTGAGTGGTTATAGAGCCTTTCCTGTGCCGACTCAACCGGTAACCTTGCTAGACAGAAATATCCCTGCAGGCTTGGAAATATGCTGGGTGGATGCTTCTAAGGCTGGGGTGGTATTAGGAGGCTAAGCGAGTGCTGCTTGCTGCAGAATTTGATGGGTCCTGCTGAGAACCCTAAACATTGGTCCATGCACCTGGATTCCTTTGTCCCTACAAACTAGTTTGTGCAGGCCAGAAAACCTACCATGTGTAATTAGACAATTACAGAATTATTGCTAGAGACCCTGCTGTGTGCACAGCACTGTGGGAGATGGGGAGGGGGAGGGGGGTTGAATACAGTGATCCTGGGAGATACACCCTTCATTAGAAGCCTGATCCCTGCCTTCAAGGAACTTATGATCTAATTGCAGAAACACCTTATTCATGCATAAAACCACTAAAGGTTAATCCAATAGGTAATGATGTGCTATATTGTCTGTGATGGAAGTTTATGGAAGAAAGATCAGAGATCATCAAGTATATGGTTTTACTATACTCTGCAGTGCACATAGCAAATTTCAGTCAACCTGTAGACATGCTTCCTCTTCTCTTGGTCCAAGGACTGCAGGACCTGAAGCTGGAAAGCAGTAGACTGGAGTCTTCTACAGGCTGTGGGGTTCGAGGTGATAATTATAGACAGACTTCATGAAACTGATCTACTTTGGGTTTTGTATCTAAACACAGGGCTCAGGGGCTGGTCATTTGTTGGGTGCTATTACTTGTGTTGGGAATCAATAAGGATGAGAAAAAAAAAAAAAAAACAACCACCAAACCAGCGAAGCAGGCCTGTTGAATACTTTGTGCTTATAGAAGAATTAAGAAGAAAAGGAAGAGGTCAGAGGTGGTACATCTGCTCCTTCTCAGGTCTCCAAGAGTGCTGAGAAGCATAGACGTCAGAGGTGATGGAGTTGTGTTGGGGGAAGAATTAAAGCCACCAATAGATGAGACTTGGACCCTAAACAGTTCCCTAGAAGAAAGTAATAAAAAATGTGATGTTTGAAGTAATGGCAAAGTGAAAGAAGCAGGTATTTGCTGAGTATCTCCTAGAAATAAGCATTTATTTTGCTCATTTAACAGGTGAGAAAACTTAGACAAAAAGAGATTAAGTAATTTGTTCAACATAATCATGGGTAGAGGCCAGAAGCAAACCTAGGATGTAAGGCATTGTTCTTTAAGACATTGCATA